AAGACCACGAAGTGTGTAACTGTTGGCTAAAAAAGGAGTCCCCGGCACCCTCCCCCGGATCGCGCCCAGACCCTCCTGGGGCGTCATGATGCTCTCTTTTGACCCTACTAGAAACCTGTCAGTCTTCGCTGTTAGGTAAATATCCTGGCAAAGCAACCTAACAGCGATGTGTAGGAGCATATCTGGAAGCATTCCCCTTAAGATTCAGATGAGAATCCAGTTGTAGAATTCTAGAATTCTGCTGTTCTCGCAGTCGTAGTCGCATTCGCGATGGCAGTCGCAGTGGCAACGGCAGTCGCAGTCACAGCCACAGCCTCAGCCTGCCTCAGCCTCAGCCTCAGCCTGCCTCAGCCTCAGCCTGCCTCAGCCTCAGCCTCAGCCTGCTCAGCCTCAGCCTCAGTCTGCCTTCAGCCTCGGCCTCAGCCTCAGCCTGCCTCAGCCTCAGCCCGCATCAGCCTCAGCCTCAGCCTCAGCAGCCTGCCTCAGCATCAGCCTGCCTCAGCCTCCGCCTCAGCCTGCCTCAGCCTCAGCCTCAGCCTGCTTCAGCCTCAGCCTCCGTCTGCCTTCAGCCTCGGCCTCAGCCTCACCCTGCCTCAGCCTCAGCCTGCTTCAGCCTCAGCCTCAGCCTCAGCCGCCAGCCTCATCTGGCCTTGGCCCCCGCATTTAGCCTTCGCCTCAGTCTCAGGCCTCAGCTCAGCCTGCTCAGCCTCAGCTCAGCCTTGCTTGCAGCTCAGCCTCAGTCATGGCCGCTAGCCTCGACCTCCAGCCTTACTCAGCCTGCCTCAGCTGAGCCTGCTGCCCTCAGCCTCAGGTACAGCCTCAGCCTCAGCCTCAGACTGCCTCAGCATCAGCCACAGCCTCAGCCTCAGCCTGCCTCCAGCCTCAAGCCGCAGTCTGCTTCAGCCTCGGCCTCAGTCTGCTTCAGCCTCGGCTCAGCCTCCGCCTGCCTCAGGCCTCAGCCTGCAATATCAGCCTCAGCCGCAGCTCAGCCTGCCTCAGCCTCAGCCTGGCCTCAGCCTCAGCCTCAGCCTGCCTCAGCCTCAGCTCAGCCTCAGCTCAGATGCTCAGCCTCAGCCTCAGTACTGCTTCTGCGCCTTCGGCCTCAGCCTCGGCTTGCCTCAGCCTCAGCCTGCCTCAGCCTCAGCCTCAGCCTCTCAGCCTCAGCCTGCATCAGCCTCAGCCTCAGCCTCAGCCTGCCTCAGCCTCAGCCTCAGCCTGCCTCAGCCTCAGCCTCAGCCTGCTTCAGCCTCAGCCACAGTCTGCCTTCAGCCTCGGCCTCAGCCTCAGCCTGCCTCATCCTCAGCCTGCCTCAGCCTCAGCATCAGCCTGCCTCAGCATTCAAAATGTGGCCTGGGAATGGAGTTCTGGGAACTCGAAGAACACGAAGTGGCCTACGGTTGGCTCCGGGCATTCAAAATCATGCCCAGGAATGGAGTTCTGGGAACTCGAAGACCAGTTGGCTCCGGGCATTCAAAATCATGCCCAGGAATCGAAGACCACGAAGTGGCCTACAGTTGGCTCCGGGCATTCAAAATCATGCCCGGGAATGGAGGTCTGGGAACTCGAAGACCACGAAGTGGCCTACAGTTGGCTCCGGGCATTCAAAATCATGCCCAGGAATGGAGTTCTGGGAACTCGAGGACCACGAAGTGCGTTAGTGTTGGCTAAAAAAGGAGTCCCCGGTTTCCCGGGGCACCCTGTCTGGATCCCGCCCAGACCCCCCTGGGGAGTCATGATG